TTTTTTTTTTTTTTTTTCTAGTTTCACGCGTCTGCCCAATAATTATTTTATACGATTACGGTAGTATTCGAGGGTATCGCATAGGTCAACTGATTGGAAAAATCTAGAAGGAAAGGGACCTCCGACGCTAGATAAATAAGTTATCAATAAACATTTGGTAGCGATTTTTACGACTCTGAAGTGTTTCAAGTAAACGCGACATCCATACAACTTCTTACAATAATGATCGCAAGTAAATCTACGTACCAGACCACGGGTCGAGTCAATCATTTGGGCAAACGTACGAGTTAAAAGTACAACACTATCAGTTTGAAAGAAAGGGAAACGAGATCCAGAAAAAAACTGAAGGCAAGACGAAGCGTCAAATAAACATTTATCTTGGTAATATGCGATAGTTGAAACGATCACTTTAACGACCCTAGACGTTGATAATTTTTAATGTTTTAATTAATCACATTTCTCATAACTTTTGCCCATATAGACCACGGTCCCTCTTTTTTCAATTAGAAATCGTACGAAACATCAACGTTCCTTTGACTCGTTCACCTTGTTAAATAATCGCAATTTTTTTTCGATTTCGTGGCTGGACCTTAAATAGGGGTTGACAAAACTATCACACAGTGCAAAACAGCTGAAGCACAGCGACTCGACGTTGCGCCCGCTAATTTCTCACTTCCTCATTAAAACCTCAACACACATTACGCCCCAGCTTGGTTCCCGCTCTACTCGGCTCCCCGTAGATCGTACATCTTCATCCTACCACGAATGAGGATCTATCCGTTCTCTCCTCGTTTCACTTTGACTCGCGTTCACTGATTGTGTTCTGTACTCAACACGACAACGAAACGCAAAACGGTAAGAAATTTTCGAAAGGATGTTCAACGTATGCTTCTACAAATTAGTTCTGGTTTCGAAAGAACCAGAAAGAGGACCCGCAGACTCTTAGTAGCAAATGTTTGTTAGTAAATATATCAGAGTCGAAGAAAGATCTAGGAAATTCAGTAAAAAAAAAAGTATCGAATACGGTAGCTTCTGGTAGGGAACGTCAAGCATACGTGATTTGTTGCAGAGATTGGTGTGGCCTGCCACTTCACAAACATAACATACTCGAATGAGTAAAGCAAGAGTGCCAGATTCACTCTAAAAACGGACAAGCTTAAGAAACTTCTGCATATATTTCTCCTCGTTTATGCAATCGAGACTGTAACCGTCTAATCATTCCGAACAAATTTTCTATAATCATATTAGAGTTTTCGTTCTCATCACACGATATGTATATACACGATAGAATGTTTGATACAAAAGAGATTCCAAAGTTATCGGTTCAGCGCCATCGAGCCGTGAAATTACCGGAAAAAGAGCACCGTAGCCGAACCAAACTTACACGAACTTAACTTGCTCGATCAAGTTTACAGGCTGAAAATTCACGTTGTGCGTAATTCGTTACGTTCAGCCCGTTTTATAAAATTACGAAAGGACCAAAACGAGAAACAACGAGGAAGAGTTTAATGACGAGCCACGGGCAAAATAGACAGATTAACGGAGGAAGGCAATTAGGGTTGCGTTTAGCAAAAAGTAGAGCATCTTCCTTTTGAATCGTGTCGGCCGCGAGCTAACCGTTATTCGTGCGCGTTACTGGAACGTACGAACCGTGAAACGAGGCGGGGGAGGAAATCGTTCCGAGCGCAATTCACGTACCGACCGACTCGTGGTATTCGAGGCT